TATTTTTTTCATACACTTTTATTGTGCACTCTATATAGTATGTCACTCAGGCTGATGATACAGAAGTATCTCTCCAGAATATACATGACTTCCCATCCATAAACGTTCGATGGTCGGTCATTATCCATCAGAAAGGGTCTGATTGTACAATCGGTCATCAAGTACGTTCGTGTTGAGAACCATCGCATTCCCCAAGCCCCTCTATAACACCCCCCCCCCCCGGTACCCCAACTTCCCCCCCCAAGGTATAGGGGACATACAGACCACCATGGACACAACCCCATTCACATTCTAATGGCTCAACAAAGATAACTCGATGGTGAGAACACCAACAGCAAGGCACCATTTTGCTGTTTCGTCTGATTGCCAGCTCTTGGGACAAAGCCCAGCCCTTCGCCTTCCCCTGTGCAGCTGTGTCTTTTGTTCTTTGGCGACCATTAGAGTTTGTTTTTCCATGCAGACTATGTGGAGGGAGGAGGGAGGACTGCGGAGGGAGGGCGGAAGAGGAGGAGGGGGGGGGGGGGGAGAGATGTGGCTCAGCCAGTTCTGACTAGTTCTCAAACTGTAGAAAAGATGTATTTATCATCCCTAACCCTTCCCTGCCCATATCCGGGTTTAGAGTCCAAAAAAATCGATGCTTGGAGCCTGTTCACCTACTTGTGGTGCATTAGCATGCGTTGCGTTAATGCGGCCCCTTAAAATGAATGAGCAGCTAACGCGCCCTAATGTCCCCAAAAAATCGGGCGTGACCCTTTTTCTTGGTAATGCAGCAAAACGCACTACCTTGCGTCACGGCACGGTTGTATTGCATTTGTGCGTTGGGGTGCCATTCAGGATCGATCACGATACATGCGTTGCAATAAAGCACCCCTTGAAACAAACAGGCAGCTAGCAAACCTTAACACCCCCCCAATAAAAAAATGGGCGTGATCTTTTTTGTAATGTACCATAACAAACGCACTTCTTTGCATTGTGGCACTCTGCATGTGCGTTAGGGTGCCATTCAGGATCGATCACATGTTACATGCGTTGCAATAAAGCGTCCCTTGAAACGAACAGGCAGCTAGCGCACCTTAACATCCTCCCCCCCCCCCCCCCCCCCCCCAAACAAAAAAAATGGGCGTGATCTTTTTGTAATGTACCATAACAAACGCACTTCTTTGCATTGTGGCACTCTGCACGTGCGTTGGGGTGCCATTCACGTTACATGTGTAGCAATAAAGCACCCCTTGAAACGAACGTCAGCTAGCGCCCCTTGAAACGAACAGGCAGCCCCCAAAAACAAAAAAAAACCAGACGTGATCTTTTTGTAACGTACCAAAACAAACGCACTTCTTTGCATTGTGGTGCGCTGCATGTGCGTTGGGGTGCCACTCACGATCGATCGTGTGCGTTTCGGTGCGCTTTTGGTGCATTCCAGTACAGTTCTGTGCAGAAAAAAATGCAGCCCATTCTACTTTTTTTTTTCTGCAAGCGCTGATGTGAACTGTAACACTGACAACCTACTTTCTGTGGGTTTCGGATGCAGAAAACAAAGCAACTGAAACGCACGTAGTGTGAGCTGGCCCTTGATTTTGGAAATGCCGCACCAACACGTCACAACCAAGCGCAGTGCCGGACAATTGTGGTCCATCCTATTCACTGCGTTTTGGATGCAGAAAAAAACAACTGTAGTGTGTGAACCGGCCCTTACGGCGCTGAAAAGGGGAAGGAGTGTCATGTAAATTTGCCAGCATGCTGGAAAATCTCCAGAGCTCTCTAGTTGACTGTAGCCCCCCCCCCCCCCCCCGTATGACATTTTGGCATGGCCAGTGCCCCCTGTATATCCGATCCTTTACGAGCTTCTTATTTTAAACCCCTCCGGAGCTGGCCGGTTTGTTCCTGCGGGCTAATCGGACTGCAAGCTCTTGAGGTTCAGGAATGTGCTGGTCTCAGCTGCCGGGGTCACATCTGCTGGGACGGCAGCATTTTTTTTTTTCACTGAGCAGACCAGTGTAAGCCGGTCATGGCGATCAGAGCACACAGATCCAGGGGCGGACTGACTATTTGGAAACTCAGGCACTGCCTGAGGGCCCGGGGTCAGTAGGGGGCCCCATGAGATGCCCCTGGTACCTTTTTCATAGGCTTTTTTACATTTGGGCAAGGACACAGGGGCCCCATGATCCCCTATTGCCCGGGGGCCCCATGAGATGCCCCTGGTACCTCTTTCATAGGCTTTTTTACATTTGGGCAAGGACACAGGGGCCCCATGATCCCCTATTGCCCGGGGGGCCCCATGAGTTGTCAGTCCGCCCTGCACAGATCACAATAATCCCCCACTCCCCACGACAGGATCTGCGTTAATAATCAACCTCTTATGTAACGCAGAATGTCAAATTAATCGCACAGGTGAGCGCTCGCCCGCCTCCTGCCTACGCAACCCTTCCTGCCATGTTGGTGCTCATCAGTGTAGGAACACAAAAGAAACGCATGATAATCAGGGCTGACAAGGGGAGGATTTGCTTAGAGCAATACGGACAGTTTTCACTTCAGACGCTCTCATTCGAGGTCTAGCCTCCCGTCTTCTGAGGCTGCGCTGGCACCATTTGGACCAATGGGAGCTCATGTGGAGCAGGGGGGCAGCCGCCGCCGCAGGCTGACGTTAAATCTACGCCCCATGTTAGGTAACACAGCCTCACCGGAGGATTCTGGGTAAAGAGCGACTGCTTGGGAAAGGAGGGGTGCAGGTCGCTCGGGGTGAATTACGGGCTTGCTCCTTTTTGGATGCCTCGATTCGATCCGATTGGACGCAGACGTCAGAAGAGCAATCTTGTGTTGGAGGAGCCACACATCATTGCCGGGAAAATCGTCTGATCGTCAAAATCGGCCATGAATTTTTCCAACATGTCCGATAAAAAAAATGTGCAAAAACCCCGAAAAACAGTCTTTTTTTTTGGGGGGGGGGGTTTTGACGAAAAATCAGCCGATTTTCGACCCGTCTATGGCCATCATAACTCTGCCGTCCCCCTTTTTATATAGATCTGAATCGGCCCTAAATTGAAGACACATACCGGCTCCTATGGCCTCGCTTGCTGGGCAGACCAGGCCGGCGAGGGCCACTGTAGACGCAGACGCGCGGTCTCTTTAAGGATCCAATGGCTGGCCTGCAACCGGATCGCTAATGTGACCCGGCCTAAAAAAAAATGCCAAGTGTATGGCCAACATGGCCTTGGCAATGTCCTGAGCGCAGAGGACGGTTGTAAACCTATATATTGTAACCCTACGCCGTCTATATGAACTCCGCCGCTAAACGTCGCAGGAAAATATGCGGCCAATGTTGGCAGGAAGCGGACACCGCCATACATATGGCATGCGCTATCTTTGTACCTCTGTGCACCCAGCCACCCCGGACGCCTGTCAGACAGCTCTGCACTCCCTGACCTCGGAGGACGCAGGATCCCACAAAGCTGGGTATTTGCTGTGTAAACATGGCCGCTCCCTACTGACATTGTATAGACGGGAGAGCAAAGCATTTCTGGCTCGCCTGCGGCACAGGTGTGACCAGCACCCATCACTTCACCTGTGCTGGGAATATCCCCAGTCACCGGCCTCCCCTCCCCAACTGCAACCACACTCTCTTATAACAACGGGTAGCAATCATTTTTCACAGCAATGCACATTAACGCCCCCCCCGGTCACATCGGTGTGACTTACAAATCGTACGCCAAGTCGCACTCTACTGTCTATTTGAGCGGTTCCGGCTTGGTCTGAGTCTCACCCGATTTCTAAAGTAGCGCCTGCTACTCGCTCATTGATTTAAACTCGCTCATTGATGTCACGTTGCAACCATGTGCAATACATGCGATTACCATGTGGTACTGCAACATTATGGGGAGGTCAACGCACTCCACAGTGAGTGTGAAAGAGTCCTAAATTAAGAGACAAACAGGGCTGTTGACGTGCCGCGGCATTTTTGACTTTGGGTGCGTACTTGTTGGTACCACCTGTCCGATTTGACCATTGAGTTTATTGGGGCTGTGCAGCCACTGCATGGTAGTGCAGCATGATGGGGTTTCACCCAGGTGGTAAGGAGGCATTATAATTTGGCATCCATTTGGGTTTATGGCCCCAAATGCAGGGGGTCTGGGGATGGTAATCCTACAAATTCTGGATGAACCTTCTAGATTGTAAACCCTCAAGATCAGGGCCCTCCTATCCCTTTTGTATTGAACTGTTTTGCTGTATTGTCTCCCATTATATTGTAAAGCGCTGAGCAAACTGTTGGTGCTATATAAATCCTATAAAATAATAACCTTCGGCACATTGCTCTGCAATGAAGAAAGAAAAGGGATTTTTGATTCACATAGATTGCAGTACATGTTTAAATCGGCCAACTGTGTCAAAGTAATCCCTCTCTGGCCAGTCCCTACTCTGCTCTGCAAATGTCCCAGAAGATGTATTGTATTGTAAACCCTATCCACTACTTTAGAAAATGAACTCTAATGCATAGAAGTCTTGCACATATGGAGTTGGGGTGCCCTTTTCACTAGGGTCCTATTAGCCAAAGCTTTTCGTTCACTTTTGTATACAATGGTGAGGGATGTCAGGATTTCATTGCTATGTCCATATTGGGGAGAATATTTTCCAGGAAGTGCAGGACAATCTCTCCCCAAAAAGTACAAGGTGGAGTTCTAACCCCTCACCGTTGTATCAAAAAAAAAATGTAAAAAGTCTCATACGCTGTAATCATATCAAAAACAAGTCAGCCCAATGGATGACCTCTCTTGAGGCCCAGTGAGCCAAGGACCTTTGTACTTGCTAGGCTCCAGAACAATTTGTGCTCCATCTTGTGGCATCTGTAGTAATCAAACCTGAAAGTTTCTAATCAGTCTGTGTCGTTGAATGAGCCCATGTGTAGTTCTTATTGCACTTCACAACTTATCTAGAATCTTCTGAATCTCACTGTGTTTCTCATCTTCCAGGGTTTACATCATCTTAAGTACAGCAAGGCTTGAACCATCATGGCTTCCATTCCATCAAGTGGCTCACTCGTCGCAACCCACGACTACTACCGCCGTGAGTATCTTCCGTGCAGGGTATAGGGAACAATCTCGCTGTTTTAAAATCCCCCCCCCCCCCCCCCAGGTCACTAATTGGGTGGCATTATAGAAAGCCAACCAAACTAATTGTTACAACCTCTACAAGATCTGCCAACCAAAGATGCATTCAGCCATCCAAACTTGGTGGTTGGAGGCTAAAGAAACTCAAGAAGAACACCATGATAGAATTATTTAAAGTGGAACTCCAGGAAAAAAAAACTAATTCAGTTGTGTATATACAGTGCTGAGAGGTTTGAACCAATGTCAGGTCTCTATCATCTGTAGAGTCACTGGGATGAAGCAAAAAATCTTGACGAAGACCTGACTTTCATTCTAACCCTTCTCCACTCTGTCCAAATTTACAAAAACCAAACTTGTCTGGAAGTGCACTTTAAAGATGGTTCCCCCCTCAGCCGTACATCCCTAGACCAGCGTGGCTGTGTTTTTCTTTTTACTATTGAGATTTCGCAATGCATGTTTTAGGTCAACCCTTATCCTGATCCTCAGGAGTTCTGTCAATGATTAACCTTGCCTGTGAAAATTGTTGACGGCTCCATTTGTTTTGGCTCTCGTCCCTCCCCTTATTTCTAGGTCATGGAGAAATAATAACATGTTTGTGTCTTCTTACAGGACGCCTGGGGTCCACCTCCAGTAACAGCTCTTGCGGCAGCGTGGACTATTCTGGAGAGGTCATTTCTCACCACCCAGGTGGGTCCCACCCCCCCATACAGGCCACGGCCTTCACAGAAGGGGGGTGTCGCTGAGTTATGTATATGCTTCCGTGGACGTTGGTCTGATAGTCTACAGTGTTCAATACTCTATGATCAGAGTCGGGTTATACAACTTATGTACTTGTTCTCCAGGCTCACTCTTGGTCGATGACCTGGAATACGCAGTAAACAGACACTGTCACAATCAGAAGAGGGAGGTCAATGGGAAATCATGTACAGCTAAATATTTAAAGTGTGTAGAGCCAAAAAGTTAGTTTTAAATGGACAATGGAAGAGCCAGATCTTCTCTTGGGTTTTTATTGGTGTCTGGATCCCTGCTGGGGAGAGTCACCCTCTTGGTCCTGGTGGCAGAATGTGATGGGAAACCCAAAATACTGTCATTGGAACAGAAGATGAGAGGAAATGGGACGACTGTTCTGGTGACAACTAAGAGGTGATTTACTCACTTTGATAAAATTTCTTCTCCCTTCTGTTGGGTCTACAGAACAGAAAATGAAATTGAAATCTGCTCAAAGGGACAGACAGCAAGAAAAACCTGAGAAATGTTCTAACCATTGTTTAGCACATCCAAAGTTTTGGTTACAGATACATCCAGTGTTCACCCCGTCTGTCCTGGTGACTTTTCTCCCAAGGAGTGAAAGAAGATCCCAAAATTTGTGTAGTCACCAGAATGAGACTAGAGGGAAAGTCTTCCAATGAGAACAGTAGCTTAGGTAACAGCTAAGCATTCCCTCACTTTGGCTATGGGACAGAAGTGAAGGGAAATCCCCTTTAGGCCATTGGGATAATGTAGGCCTTTTTTGAGGGGAAGTGGGTGCCCTTTATGGCCATTATGTCTGTTGGGATAGTGTAGGCCTTTTTTGGGGGGGTAGTACCCCCAATCAAAGAGCTCACAGGAACAGAGCTGAGGCCATCAATCACTGGCTGTGTACTGGAGCCACCCCACCCCATTCCTTCTTTTTTTTTTTTTCTCTTTGGGTCAGGAAAACTTTTCAGCAGGGACTCATGGTGATGGCAGAGGAACAAGGCAGCAGACAGAAATGACACTTACAAGTACACAGTATAGAGGGATATGCTTTGTTCGTATTTCATTTGAGGTTTACAACCACTTTGAGGCTCCTGACCGCATTGTCCAGGTGCACCTTTTTCTATGGTAGGCTATAGGTGGTCATGGTTCTTGCCTTCTATGGCCACATGTGGTGGAGATGGGAAATGTGGGCAGGGTTGCTGTCTGTCTTGTCTCCTCACTGGAAATTTTGGGGGAGTTAATCTGAAGTCTGTTCTTCCTGTAGGTCTCCCGAAGTCGGATCCTGGACACTGGTGGGCCAGCTTCTTCTTTGGCAAACCTCACCATCCCGTCATGACCACTGTTTCTGAATCCCCGGAGAAGTAAGTGGACACGTGACCATCAATACACGTATGACACCTTGTATAATTACGTCCTGTTTACATAAATTCTACTGCCACCGACTGGGCAACAAAGTGTCTGATCTCAAAACGGGTGGCCTGTCCGCTCATGTCTCCACATCTCCCTATTAAGAGAACCTGAAAAACAACAAATTCTAAGACCATCCATGTCAAGCTGGCCGGTATGAAATATGTAGGATGGTAAATAGATACCAAACATGTCAAGATTTAAAATTGTGCATGCATGTAAAATGGACTCCAACTACGCTGCCCAAAATTGTCCATACATGATGCTCTAAAAGCCTTTACTGGTTACTAGTTTAGTTAAATGTGAGCTTTGGTAGAATTACTGCTCTCGGGTCGATGTTCGTAGTGACACCTCATATGCGTCGATGTTCGCCATTGACACATGCTCATATCCATGCAGACATTTTCATGGGGGGGGTGCTTTAGCCTTCATCTCTCCTCTCCATTCGCATTTTCATGCTCTGTATCCATGCAGACATTTTCATGGGGGGGGGTGCTTTAGCTTTTTCTTCCTTTTTTCTTTTTCTCTCCTTCCTTTTTCTTTTTCTCTCTCATTTTTTCTTTTTCTCTCCTTCCTTTTCTTTTTCTCCTTCTCTTTTTCTCTCCTTTTTTTCTTTTTCTTTTCTTTTTTTTCTCTCCTTTTTTTCTCCTTTTTTTTCTCTCTTCCTTCTCCCCTTTTTAATAGATTTGGGCAGGTGACAGGTCCCCTTTATAGAGACATCATGGGTCTATTAGACCCCTGATTCCCCTCTACCTTCCAAGGCAGCTGATGAAACACAGATGTTTTGATCTGTACTGGCCAGGGAAATGAAACTAAGTGATTAAATCCTCAGAGGAGATGGTGGAAAGTATGTTCTTCCATCTCCTCTTTAAGCAGTTGACCTGACCACATACCATGGTCCTGGGCTCCATGTTGCAACAGGAGTGCCCTAGATTTGTGGAGGGCTCCATGGCTCCCTTGTGTCCTAACACATAGGCCAGTCCTCTATTTTGGATCCCCCTAATCTTGATCTCTCTTCTCTCCTCTACAGCTCAGGAAGCATCCGTGTGACCAATGGCCTTATCCCTTGTGGCCTGGCTCAGGAGCCGGTGAGGAAGAACGTCGGTGAGACCAAGACTGACTCCAGTGCCTCCGCCTGACAACCCCACCCTCACCCCTGCCATGCATTCCCCCCCCCCCCCCCCCCACTGGAAAGACGCTGGGTGGTGGAGCCCATTCCCCACCCCCCCTTCCCCTCCCCCCCTGCCCCCACAGGCTGCCCCACCCCCGTAGCTTTTTAGTCATCACTTTTTTGTTATGTTTTTATACAATGGAAAAAGAAATAAGAAGTAACTTGTTTTTATTACATCCGTAACACTGAAACATTCTTAATTGTTTGTTCCCCATTCCCCCCCCCCCCCCCCCCCCCTTCACCTATGATGCCTTGTTTTATTTGTAAGGGTCAAATAAAGTTTCTTCTTTTAAAAGAAGAGTGTTTTGTTATGTCATTTTTCATGCAGTTAGACTAAGGGTTTGTTCACACCGGGTGTGGTGCGGGAACACGTGAAATCGCAGGTTTTCCTGCACCACATAAAAAAAAAAAAAAAAAAAAGGTGATGCCTTCTGCAGACAGGATAGATGGTATTAATCCCTAATGGCAACCCCCATGCATCTTGGCGATCATGTGTGCGTTGGTACTGCAGGACTACCCTGTCTGGTATTGGGCAATTTTACAAAATCGTGCCTGCGCTTTTCTTGCACCTTTCACATACGTGTGACGTGTTGGGATTAAGGGGCTGCTCTATAAGCGCCATGTTGGAACGCACCTTATGTTGCAAATGTGCCCTAAATGTTCTGGGGGACAATTTTCTCGCAATCTATATATTCATTGCAGTTTTGTTTTTTTTTTTTTTTTTTTTTTTAAGCCCATTACAGGGGATGGCTGTGATGTGGTTCCAAGTCCTGTTTTATTCTTATACAGGATTTATGGCACCAACAGTTTGCTCAGCGCCCTTTACAATATAAGGGAGACAATACAGCAACAATACAGTTCAATACAGGATACAAGAGGGATAGGAGGGCCTGATCCTGGGAGCTAACAAATCTAAGAGTATACATTGTATTGTAACTTATGTCTACCTTCATTTTGTAAAGCGCTGTGCAAACTGTTGGGGAAATGGAGATAGAGATGCCTCTGCCTGTGTGGCGGAGAGAGGCAGGCGGAGAGAGAGAGAGGCAGGCGCAAGCAGAGAGAGAGAGGCAGAGGCAGGAGAGGCAGGCAGAGGCAGGCGCAGGCAGAGAGAGGCAGGCAGAGAAAGATGCAGGCGGGGAGAGAGAGAGGCAGAGAGAGAGAGGCAGGCGCAGGCAGAGAGAGAGGCAGGCAGAGAGGGGAGAGAGGCAGGAGAGAGGGGGAGAGAGGCAGAGAGAGAGGCAGGCAGGCAGAGAGGGGGAGAGAGGCAGAGAGAGAGGCAGGCAGAGAGAGAGGCAGGCAGAGAGAGGCAGGAGAGAGAGAGAGAGGCAGGCAGAGAGGAGTGAGAGATGCAGGCAGAGAGGGGTGAGAGATGCAGGCAGAGAGGGTGAGAGATGCAGGCAGAGAGGGTGAGAGAGGCAGGCAGAGAGGGTGAGAGAGGCAGGCAGAGAGGGGGAGAGAGGCAGGCAGAGAGAGGGGAGAGAGGCAGGCAGAGAGGGTGGAGAGGCAGGCAGGCAGAGGGCAGGCAGAGAGAGCAGGCAGGCAGAGAGGCAGGCGCAGGCAGAGAGAGGCAGGCAGAGGCAGAGAGAGCAGGCAGAGAGAGAGAGCAGGCAGGCAGAGAGGGGGAGAGAGGCAGGCAGAGAGGGGGAGAGAGGCAGGCAGAGAGAGAGAGAGAGAGAGAGAGAGAGAGGCAGGCAGAGAGAGAGAGAGAGAGAGGCAGGCAGGCAGGAGGGGGGGCAGAGAGGCAGGCAGGAGAGGGGAGAGAGGCAGGCAGGGCAGAGAGGGGAGAGAGAGGAGGGAGGGAGAGAGAGAGAGGCAGGCAGAGAGAGGGAGGGGGGGAGAGGCAGGCAGGGAGAGGGGAGAGAGGGGCAGAGAGAAGAGAGGCAGGCAGCAGGCAGAGAGGCAGGCAGAGAGAGACAGAGAGAGGGCAGGCAGAGACTTTTTTTTCTTTTTAAATGCATTACTTTTTATATTGAAAGTGTTGTTGATGATGAGCTCCATTCAGGCCAAAATGATGTAATTAGTCTGCTGCAGACAGTGAAAAAAAAAACACTTCCTCAGTCTCCTGTCCTTTGATCACTCAGACTGTACATTGTAACTTTGTAGCAAATCACTAGGTGAGAGACTACAATGGGGGTTGATGTTAAATGTTTATGGATGAAAAACTAAAAACCGCACAGACACCAGAATTTACACTGGTTGTGCCAGCTATGAGCCACAGTCTCAGTCCAGCAAGTAGATAAATGATGCCTAAATAAACATGGTGCCGTCTCTTTCTGGAAAGGAAAGCAGATCGGGGGGGTGCTGGGAGAGGTAACAAATACATGGAAGTGTTTTCCCTGACATATTGCTCAACATGCTGCATTTAACAAAATAAAAAATTATCTTTTTTTTTTTTTTTTTATGCATGTAAATAAGGGATGTAGACATAAACCCAATGACATGTCAATGCTATTTAACCACCTCCCACCTACCATATAAGGTAATGACGGGCGCAAGGTGGTTCCCTCGTTCTGGGAGGACGTCATAGCGTCTTCCCATGCTAACGTCACATGCGCAGCTCCAGGAGCGCGCGGCGATCGGTGGTGTGCTGCGTCCCTCGGACACAGCAGATCAACAGAAAGAGCCGAAGATGTCAGCGCGGTCATGTGATCAGCTGTGTCCAATCACAGCTGATTGCATGTAAATAGAGAAATGCCAGTTATTGGCATTTTTCTCCTCACGAGCTGTCACGCTGACAGAGGAGAGGAGAGCCGGTAATCAGCTTTACTCATGATGATCAGTGTGTGCCCTGATGCAGGGGTGGACTGACCATTGGGGAACTCAGGCGCTGCCCCGGGGGCCCGGGGGTCAGTAGGGGGCCCTGATGATGATGAGATGCCCCTGGTACCTTTTCATAGGCTTTTTTGCGTGTGGTTTGAGTGTGGGCGAGGACACAGGGGCCCCATGATCCCCTACTGCCCAGGGGCCCCATGTGTTATCAGTCCACCCCTGCCCTGATGATCACTGTAGCCCCAGCAGTGCGTCCTGTCAGTGTCCATCAATGCCACATATCGGTGCCCATCTGAGCTGCCTGTCAGTGCCACCTATCAATGACAATCAGTGCAGCCTAGCAGCGCCAATCAGTGCTGCCTATCAGTGCCAGTCATTGCTGCCTATCAGTGCCCATCAGTGCAGCCTATCAGTGCCAGTCATTGCTGCCTATCAATGCCAGTCATTGCTGCCTATCAGTGCCCATCAGTGCAGCCTATCAGTGCCCATCACTGCAGCCTCATTAGTGCACATCAGTGAAGGAGAAAAATCACTTATTTACAAAATGTTATAACAAAAAAACTAAGAAAAAACATTTTTTTTTCGAAACTTTCATTGGTTTTTGGTTTGTTTAAGAAAAAAACCCGGAGGTGATTAAATACCACCAAAAGAAAGCTCTATCTGTCACAAAAAAATTTCACATGGGTACAGTGTTGCATGACCGCGCAATTGTCATTCAAAGTGTGACAGCACTGAAAATTGGCCTGGACAGGAAGGGGGTAGAAGTGCCCGGTGGGCAGGAAGGGGGTAGAAGTGCCCGGTGGGCAGGAAGGGGGAAGTAGAAGAGTGCCCTGTAGGCAGGAAGGGGGTAGAAGTGCCCGGTGTGGCAGGAAGGGGGTAGAAGTGCCCGGTGGGCAGGAAGGGGGTAGAAGTGCCCTGTGGGCAGGAAGGGGGTAGAAGTGCCCGGTAGGCAGGAAGGGGGTAGAAGTGCCCTGTAGGCAGGAAGGGGGTAGAAGTGCCCGGTGGGCAGGAAGGGGGTAGAAGTGCCCGGTGGGCAGGAAGGGGGTAGAAGTGCCCGGTAGGCAGGAAGGGGGTAGAAGCGCCCGGTAGGCAGGAAGGGGGTAGAAGCGCCCGGTAGGCAGGAAGGGGGTAGAAGCGTCCTGTAGCCAGGAAGGGGGTAGAAGCGCCCTGTGGGCAGGAAGGGGGTATAGAAGCGCCCTGTAGCCAGGAAGGGGGTAGAAGTGCCCTGTGGGCAGGAAGGGGGGTATAAAAGTGCCCTGTGGGCAGGAAGGGGGTAAAGTGCCCTGTAGCCAGGAAGGGGGTAGAAGTGCCCTGCAGGCGAGGGGTTAAAAAAGCTTTTTCAATTGTTAATATCTGCAGCATTTATTAAAAATAATCCCAGGCTATACAGCTCCTGGTTCAGACACTTCCTGTTTCCAGGTGACAACATTCTGCCCCTGTATCCCAATCACATGTCCTGTGTTGTCACACTGGTGCCCCCTGGAGATGACAAGTGGTAGTATGTGCGCTCATTACACAGGCATGGTCTGCAGCTGTCACCATTGTGAAACCAGTCCTGATATGTCATACAGCCTCTGCTGGAGTGCCTATAGACAGGAAGTGGCTGCAAATTGGCTGCGGGAGATCCGCAAAGGATGAAAAAGAAGGTGCAGCAGTATTTCATCAACACAAACAATTGTCATTTGTTTATGGTTCGCAGAGAACGGAGGAAACATGATGTCATCCAGCTCCGTCTACTTCAATGGTGCTCCTCCTGGCTGGGTTCTGGATGGCCACGCCATGTTTATAGAGGTGCTCCCCGTCCAGGGAGGGGTCATGTCATCCCCATCCATCTGCATGGAGGATAGAACACTCCCACAGACACAATAAAAAGGATCCGTTCTCTGATCTGCATACCCAGATAACTGCAGATGATCACTTCTGAGCTGAGAAATAATAATGAGAGAAAATATGGACTGTCTGTGTTGCCCACAACGGCCAATCAGATTACAGCGGATGATTCTCACCAGCAGTGACAGTTTCTGATGTCTATAGGTAGGCTGGTCCCCAGCCTGACCAATCTTATGAACAGGACAGCACAGGGCCGGTGCTTTTGGTCAGGAATTTCCTGACACCTTTTTTTTTTTCCTCTTTTTAGTTCAGTTGTGGAGAACCCCAGTGGAGAGATTTCACTGTACTTCCTGTTAGGGTGACCACGCA